TTCACAGAATTTACTGAGAGTACCTTCAACGCACTACCCATTCCTACGGACGTCATCGTTGCCGAGCGTCAATTCCGCAAGGCGATCGCTGCTGCTACCGCTCGCTTCATACCGGCTGGTGGAATCGCGGAACTCCGCCCAAATTTCCCAGCCGAAGCAGCTGCATTAGCAAACGAGCGTGAGTAAGCTTTGGAATACTGTCAAGGCCTTGTCTAATCCGAGGAGACATGACGACCGGGTTGAAATTCAATTCGATGGCCATGCCTCCTCGGACCCGAAGAAGTGCGTGAGCTATTTTAGCCGGCAGTTTACACTGCACCCTTGGACCGACAAAGCCAAACGATGTGTTACCAGACTGCTGCGCAAAATGCCAAAAGACTGCGCACCACTTATTTTTTACCGATGGGGAGGTTGAGAGTGTCATCAAAAAGGCGAAATCGTCTAAATCCATCGGCCCTGACGGAATAAGCATGCGGATGCTAAAACATCTAGGCTCAACTGGAGTAAACTATCTCACCAAGGTCCTCAACTTGTCGATATCCACTCTTCAAATACCCGATGTGTGGAAAGTCGGAAAAGTGGTCCCACTACTGAAACCTAGGAAACCCGCCAACAAAGGGGAGTCTTATCGCCCGATAAGATTGTTACTCCCGTCATTCACTCACCACCTGAGTCTAGCAGACCATCAGCATGGCTTCCAAAAAGTGCACAGCAACTTCACAGCACTTAGCGTCATAAACGCCCAGATAGTTCATGGCCTGAACCAGAAGACACCCTGCGAGAGGACGATACTCGTAGCGTTGGACTTGTCAAAAGCTTTTGACACAGTCAATCACACAACGCTACTTGAGGACATAGAACAATTAACGCTCCCTCCATGGCTGAAGCGGTGGACTATGAACTACGTGAGCGGTCGGCATTCATCCGTACTGTTTCGAGGTCAAAACTCCAAACTTAGAAAAATTAAACAGGGGGTTCCGCAAGGCGGTGTCCTCTCCCCACTACTGCTTAATTTCTATATTTCGAAACTCCCCCAGCCACCAGCGGCAATTTCAGTGACCTCGTACGCTGATGACTGCACGATATTGACGTCGGGCAATGGAATCGATGGCATGTGCTCAAAAGTAAACAGCTACCTCTCCGCTCTTTCTCGCTTCTTCTCTGCAAGGAGCCTAACAATCTACCCCACTAAATCCACAGCGACCATCTTCACAAATTGGACGAAGGAGTACAGACTGGACCTGAACATTTCCGTCGATGGCACAAAAATTCCGACAGTTAATAACCTTAAAATTTTAGGCGTCCCATTGGACAGTCTGTGCTCCATCACTCCTCACACGACCACGATAACTGCCAAAGTACACAGCCGCAACAAAATCCTCAAGTCGCTTGCCGGCGGCTCTTGGGGAAAAAGACAAAGAAACGTTGTTGGCAACTTACAAGGAAATCGGCCGGCCGGTCCTAAACTACGCATCACCAACTTGGTCGCCTGGATGAAGTGCAACGCAGACGAGAAAGCTTTAGACTTGTCAAAACACTGCACTCCGGACTATCACGGGGTACCTCTTGATGTCCCCAATTGAACACCTACATAGTGAAGCCCTTATGCTTCCGGTTAGGGAACATAATGAGCTCCTCTCCAAGCTGTTTCTGCTGAGGTGGTTTCGCAGAAATCACCCCTGCAGTCGCCTGCTTGAAGCGGAACCGCCTCCTAGGAACATCAAGAGGTCATTCCTTGATTACGTCGACGACATCAGACAGTACGCCGACCGGACTTCGGACGCAACGAACTACAGACAAGCACTGTCCGCGATTCACAGTGGGGCCATTAACACCTTCATCGACTCCCTTTCAGTGAATGGCGTACTAGGAGCCAAACCATCACCTATAGCAGACATAGAGCTCGAGTTGCCCCGTGAAACCAGAGTGACCCTCGCGCAACTTCGTTCTGGATATTGTAGCAGGTTAAACTCCTACTTATCCCGAGTAGACCCCGACATACCAAACATATCTCCTGCGTGCAATGAGGCCCCGCATGAACCATCTCTTTGCATGCCCAACAAACCCAACTCATCTAACACCCGTTTCCCTATGGTCCGACCCCGTCGAAACAGCCCGTTTCTTAGGCCTCCCGCACTGCTGATACCAAGTGAGTGGCTTCCTCACCTGGTGTATTTGCTGAGCAGCAAACTATCACAAAAAGGTATTCATCAAAATCATTTTGTTTCCAGCTACGTTTTTGGCAAGTGTGTTTGCTGCGGGGTTCCGTCTCCGGAAAACGAAACATCAGCAATAATAGCCTTGTGGTCAGTATTTGTAAATATATCCGACCCCGTTCACTTTATGTGCCTACTTAAAGCGTAGTTTGCAAACATTAGGTCGATTATGGAGCTTTTGTTTCCTTTTTGAAAGGTATTTTGTGTTCCGCTATACATTATGGTAAGATTCGTCTGGCCTAGGAATTCTAGTAACAGACGTCCACGATGGTTTGTGCGTCTGCTACCCCAGGCAGTTGACCACGCACTGAAGTTGCCCGCGATAATGACTGGCGTTTTCCCCTCTGGTTTCTAAAGCAAATATTGTCTGTCTAAGCAGATCTTGTGTTGCAGTAAAGTGGTTTAAATTTAGCTGTAGTATCCTCATTTTCCTAACGACTTTGCCATCTCCAAATACTTGGGGCAAGTCGTTCTTAATACTGAATGTGCTCCTTTCCAAAGCATGGAGCTTGGGTCGTTGGTGCATGACTTCGCTACATGTCCGCCGGCACCACAACGTGGTCATATTGACGACCTGTCTATGGCGTTGCATCATTTGCGCGCCATGTGTCCCAGGTGGAAACACCTAAAGCAACGCGGAATAGGGGAACATTCCCGGAGGCGGCAGATAGACCACCCGATCATCACTTTGCCTACCATAAGGGCAGCCTTGGAATCCTGAGCGCGCAGGCATATGAGAGCTATTTGAGTACCTCTTCGGGTTTTTCGCATACTTTTAATGTTTATTTCCCCCGGATTCTGTATACCGCACTCCTTATGCAGGGCCTTGCAAATCTCTTCTGGAGTTGTTATATCATCCAAATCCTTGCACATAATCGTGACGTTGTGGGTTTTCGGCTGTATCACTGCCATTTTACCGATCACTTCCTCTAACGCTTTGAAATGGTTCAGCTCTCTTTTCCGCTTGATTTTTTAGTTTCAAAAGCAGGTTTCCCTTCAAGGTTTTTCTTATGTAGGTGACGCTTGTGCCCAGCTCCTCTTGTCCGCTGTCACTTTTTATTTTCCGGAGAATGTCAGCGTACGATGCACCATCCTTTTTTGTGAGTATGATGGCGTCTGGCCTTGATTATTAACAACATCCACCCATGTTTTGCCTATGCCGGGCTAAACCGTAGTATCGCCTTGAACTATTTTCGCTGCCTCGATGTTAGTAGGCTGCGCTGTTTTATTTATATATCTTTTATTATTTGGCTTTTTTGTTGGTGGTAAAAAGCCTAAAGTCTCACGCAACCTTTTCGGAGTATTCATTTTTACCCATGGGAGATATTTGCGATGCTTTTCCATACCATAGTCCTTTTGGGTAGGTTTTCTCCTTTCTCAACCTTCGCATGTAGTATCACTATGTTGCTAACTCGCATTGCTTGGTTTATATGCTTTTGTCCAGATATCCTTCCTGATATCAATGATATTTTTTCTCTTACAGACTTAAAACTGTTAAATTTACCTTCAAGGGACTTTGTGAACTTTGAAAGTTTCATTCACACTTAGCTCCAGGGGTGTGATTATTTTTGTGGCGTCCGCAAATGAGATTGTGATTGATATTGACATTGTTCAAGTAAACAAATTGTAATCTCATAATTTTTGCTATGCCATAACATAGTAAATAACATGTAAATCTTTTAAATTTTTTCTTCTTACTGATTCATAACTTTTTTCCGGAATTTACATGTGTGTATTGGAGGTGTAAATAATAATGTTACGAGGCGTGTGCAAAGAAAAATGAAAATGACTAATTTCGAGTAGTACTTTGTTTTTAATAACAGAAAAGGATAGTCACGTTTTTGTGTGCTTATCGATTTTTGACTTTTGAAGGAAATGAATCAAAGAATTTGTAATAGAAGTGCTCCAAGGCACTTGCAATGTTGACTGTGGCATTCGGTGAGTCTATTTTGTCTCAAAAAGTGTTTATAAGTGGTACAAGCGCTTTACAGAAGGCCGAGATCATGGTGATGACGATGAGCATCCTGAAAGTGCGACTACGTCAACAAGCGAAGAAAACATCGAAACAGTGAAAAAAATTAAACTTGAAAATCGTCGAATCACTATTAGGGAAGTTGCAGAGGATGTTGGCTAATAAATGAAGCAATACGGCTCAAACGATCAGAATTGTGGAAAAACAAATCGTGGATTCTGCACCACGATAATGCACCAGTTCACACATCAATGCTTATTCGTGATTTTTTTCGCAAAACAAAACCGTAATCATGCCTTAACCATCGTATTCACCAGATTTGGCTCCCTGCGACTTTTTCCTATTCCCAAAACTGAAAAAACCAATGAAAGGAAAGCGTTTTGCAACAATTGATGAGATCAAGTCAGAATCGAAGAAAGAGATGATGGCCATAGCGAAAAGCACATTTTAGAAGTGCTTCGAGGATTGGGAAAAGCGTTGGCACAAATGTATTATATCCGAGGGGGATAACTTTGAAGGGGACAAAATAGATATTTGTGAATAAATAAGTACTTTTCAAAAAAATTCAAAATGCACATTTTCTTTTGAACACACCTTGTACATGATAAAATCTGTCGTATTTAATAGTTGTTATCACAAAAACAAGCTCCAATAGGTATCAACCGTATTTTGTATAATAATTGATTGCACGTTCTTAATAAATTCTTTAACAATACGTCTGTAAACAATGTCTTTATAATTGACTGATAGGTATATAGGAAATTTCCTATAATTCTTATTTTAGAATGTACAACTATAATTTCTCATTTCAGATTTCGTATAGATAACACAGACCATATAATTGATGTAAACAAAGGAAATTTAGCATTCGAGTTCGATCAAGTGCATATTATATGTCCCGTTTATGAACCTGGCACCTTTGAAAATGAAACGGAAAAATATATAATATACAATGTGTCAAAAGTGGAGTATGAGACATGTCGGATAACAAATGCAACTCCGCGAGTTATAGCGATTTGTGATAAACCGCAAAAATTAATGTTCTTTACAATAACGTTCCGGCCATTTACACCACAGCCAGGAGGTTTGGAGTTCCTTCCTGGAAATGATTATTACTTCATTTGTGAGTATAATATATGGTCCACCCATTTTCTCATACATTCTCAAACTTGGATAATATCATTTTAGCAACTTCATCGAAAGACGATCTTTATCGACGAATAGGAGGGCGATGCTCCACAAATAATATGAAAGTGGTTTTCAAAGTGTGTTGTGCGCCCGAAGAGAAAAACAAAACGTTAGTAAGTACTGGTAGCTCCAGCAGTTCATCTTCTAGTGGTAGTACCAGCGCTGCCGGTACTGTCATTGGTATAAACACGGCTAACGGCAATGGCCTTGCAACAGGTATTGATAATGCTGCCAATGTGGATGTTGTCAGTACTCAGACCAATATAAACCAACATCAGCATATGAATAATATAAACACCATTGGAATCAACGGTGTTAACACAGGTTTAATACCAATCGGAGGTGTTCATATTGGCGTCAACAGTGGCGTTGGCGTAAGCAATGGTGGTATGCAAATGAAACCGATGAATGGCGGTAGTGGTACATCTATCAATACAAATATTGATCAGTTTAATCGTATACCAATACAAGCTAGCGGCATTAATGTTATGGGAAATAATGTTGGTGGACTTGGCGGTATTGGCCTTGGTGGGCATGGCGGCGGTGGTATTATGCTAACACCAGGAGGTCAAGGAGGCATAAACATGATTGCGAGTGGTGTAGGTATTGGTATCGGGCAATATCCTGGCCACTCTGGACAGACTGGAATACGCATTAACAACGTCGCGTCCCAGCAACATCATGCAACGCATAAGAACAATAATAATAATGGTAAGGATACCGGAACAAGTGGTGTTGGTGTTAGTAACGGTGTTAGTGTTGATGGTGGTGGTGGTGATGGTGATAATGGTGGTACGCTCGTGAATATAAATTTCGGTGATGCACAGTTTTTGCCACCATTTATTAACACAAACCATAGCAATATTGTACAAAGTACAATTAACTGGCCAGAATGGGGTAGAAGCGGTCCTATACATTCTAAAAATAATAATCTAACAGCAACAACAAGAAACGATCATAATATAAATGAACCAAATAATAATTATTATTCACCGTCCCATAGATCGATTAACAATAAAACAATTAACAAAAGTAAGTAAAAAACTACAAATTTATACAAAATACCACAAATAACAATCAAACCCTTACAAAATCCTTACAATTCCCGCTCACACATACGTCCATACCATATATACATACATGCAATGCATTGCATACGATAAATAATTTTGGTTCATATTCGCCAGATATTCGTTCTCGAAAACGTTATTGCGTGAGTAAGACCAATAGCTGCGCAACACATAGTATCCAGTACTCTGTTAATATCTGACCAATTCATGTTACAAATTTTCGAATATTTATTGCGTTTTACAGTTGATAGTCGATACATTTTTCTTATATGGAGTCCTCTTGTTATGTGTAGAAAAAAATCTTATATATGGAGAACTGGTCCTAAAAAATTTGTTTATTTTTGTATCACTGTGCTACTGTTAGGAGATGACACCCTCCAAATCAAGTTATCGCTTGCACGGACAGACATTCATCCGGATTTCGACTCGTCTCGTCATCCTGATCATTGATATATACATAACTCATATCTATCTCGATTAGCTTTAGGTGATGTAAACAACCGTTAGATGAAAAAAACTACTCTGGGCAACATGTTGAGAGAGTATAAAAATCCAGTCTTTGTTTGAAATTTATCATATACCTTACACAATTCAAGAAGTGTTACTATATTCGGGATATTTAAGTACTGCTTAACACAAGAAGACATTTGTTGCCGCATAAATGTTTACTATATGTTAATATTATAAATTGAAGAGGAAGGATCACAAGGGTATAAATATATGCAATATCTGAATATAAGATAATTGTAAACACATCATGTTTTTATACTCTCATAACCAGGAGTGCAAATAATGCATTACAAATGGATTCAATTAATTTTTTGTTGTTGTGTAATCTCAAATACGGGACTAAAAAAAAAATTTAATCAAACATACCGGATTGAAAAAAAAAATTTGATCCCGATTTTGTTCGCAACATGTTGCAACGGATAGGTCACCCAACGATTGTTGGTAAAACTAAAACTAATCATCCATATAAATATAGAGTTATATAAACATTGAAATTTGAGTGACTGTCCTTCCGTCCATTACTGCGGGCGATAACTTGTGTAAAAATGAAGACCTTGAAACTCGGTCCAAGCTCGGTATGAGCGGAATCGGACTATTGCCTCTCCCACAAAAAAGGCCGTTAATCGAAAAGATATAAAGCACCATGATTTAGCCACATATGAAGATGGGAAACCGTAATTTGTTACAAGTCATGTAATGTGTCGATGTGTAAATGGGTATCGCTGATTTAAAACTTTTTCAAAATTGGACGTGCCTTCGTAACAAGGCGCAAGTTAATTGCCATAAAAATCAGCTAACTGAAGGCCTAGAAAATGTTCTGTTCCGACGGGGTCGGACCATAGAGAGAGGGTATTATGTTGATGGGATTCATATGGCATGCCAATAGGTGATTGGAGTGAAGCGGGGACTCATTACACGCAGGAAATATATATGGTATGTTGGAGTCGATTCTGGAAAAGTAAGAGTTTAACGTGCAGTCAAGGTCACTCGAGGAAATTCGAGCTCTTCGTGTGCAATGGTTGGTGGTGTGATACGTCTGAAGCTTCTTCTGATGAATATACCGGTGTAGCTTAATTGATGACCGACCGATTTCCTTGTTGTTGTCAACAACTTTTCATTGCCTTTTTCCCAAGTGCTGCTGGATACCGACTTGAGAATTTTATTACGGGTCTGTACTTTCGTAATGATCGCGATCGTGTGCGGAGTGAAAGGCTCTGTCAAGTGTAATACCTATAATTTTAGGGTTTTCAACAGTCGGAATTTCAATGCCATCCACTGCAATATTAAGATCCAGTCGGTACACTTTCATCCAGTTAGTTAGTATGGTCGCTGTGGATTTTGTGGGGAAGTGTTCGGCTCCAAAGAAAAAGTGAGAAAGATCGGTGAGATAATTGCTTGTTTCAGGTCTTGTGTTACAGTGCGAAAATGGGCGAAACTTTAATACTACTTCCCATATATTACAATTTTAAATTCTATATGATTATTTCACTTTACGGTATATGAATCGAGCGCTCGTGACCTCATGGAAATAAAAGTTTGCTCATATTGCTCATTAAAGGTATGATATCTCCCGTCCAAAAATAGCCGAAAGCGAACAATAACTTTATAAGTCCAAAGAAACTTAATATGTGAACTTCAGTGCCAACTTTTTTACGAAAATTTGTTACTATAAGAGGTACCTTAATGAAAATCAAAGAACATCTTTTTCTGGAAATAAAATGTCGTGGGGCCAGAAATGATAACATCGATTTGATATTAAGCCCAGTGTCCATGTCTAAATAAGAAGATTTTCGAACTTCCGGTTGCCTTTGAATGAGATATCTTAAAAAATTGAGAAAGTCTTTCTCTCTCCAATAAAAGTGTCCTTGTGCTTAAAACGCGATTTGACACATCGAGCCAATCCTTACTTGTTTAATATAGAACAAGAGATCCCAGCAAATTGTATAATTTTTATAAATTTTTTGGTTGCACCCGATTTTTTTTACCCCTTCCTTAATAGTTAGGTATACATTATTGGGCTTAATTTCACTTATTTCATTTCTGTTATGGTTATTCTCAAGATTCGTATTAGTGTTTTATTACAGTTGTAATGCGGATCGAAGCTTAGTTATAAATGTATCGAGTTTTCCAATAGAGATGATATGATTTCTAAGTGTCGTTTCGGCCATTTTTAAAATGTCATGTAATTTTTTTCATTGTGTTCAGTAATATTTACAATCTTACTATAGACAGATATACGCAAGAACAACGTTTTCAAATTATTCAATTAAAGTATCAAAACAATCGTTCTCCAATTGTAACTTTTCATGCGCTTTTGCCATTTTATGGTCGTTATGGTTGTGGAGAGTGGTGCGGTAAATAAACAAAACTATCGATTCTGGTGCGAAGAAAATCCACAAAATATTCATGAACAACCATTAACTCATGACAACATTAGAATTGTTGCGAGAAAAGTTTGGAAATTCGATAATTTCAAGAAATTGTGACATTAAATGGCCCCCAAGAAGTTGTGATTTAACAAAATTAGATTACTTCTTGTAGGGTTATTTAAGGTTATTGATCTTGAGCAATAAACCGGACTCTCTTCAAGCCAGAAGTCAATATTGAACGTGCTATTCATGTCATACGACTTGATTTAGGGGAAGAAGTACTCGAAAATTGGGTTCATCGAATCTTTTCCAGCAAAAGACGTTGTGGAAGTCATTTGAATGATGTTATATTCGGAACTTAATTGTTTCGATTGTACTTCACATATAATAAAAAACATTTGAAGTTCCTTAATAATTAATGTGTTTTTTTTTTGTTAAAAAAAAAAGTAAAATTATATCACTCTTATATATTAAAAATATATATATATCAAAATTTTTAACACAACTCAATTTTGGCTTTAGCTAATTTCTTATTCTACATATATATAGAAAACTAGTATATCCGGCCACGTGTTACTGTGGTTATGGTATACATATACATTACAGATAGTATACTGCCCGCGCTAAATATTTTTCAGACCTTTTTTAATTTTTTAAGTTGGTATTACTGTCCTTAATTACCATGCCAAAAATTAGCGTGATATGTCAACCAGTTTGTTTGCAGCAGTTGTTGAAATCAGTTGACCTGAGAAGTGTTTTACAATTTTTACAATGGAAAAAAAGGTTGAACAAAGAATTAGCATCAATTTTTGTGTTTCGAAATAAATTTCGTGTGCGGAATCGTTGCGAATCTTAGAAAAAGCTGATGATGAATCTAGTCTATCGAAAACCTAGTCTACGACTGGTTAAAAGCCTTTAGTGATGGTCGAGAAACCGTCAAAGACATGCCTCGTTCCACTCGTTCTTCGACGTCTACCACTGACGATAACATCGCAAAAGTTAAGGAAATCGTCCTCGAAAATCGTCATGCGAGTGTTAGAGAGATAGCACGTCGGCCGTGAAGCAGCGTGTTTGATTTTGACCGATAATTTGGGCATGTGACGAGTCAACGCTCGGCTTGTTCCAAAAGAGCTGAATTAACTGCTAAAAGACCGCACCGAACTGTAGTTGTGAACGATTTAAGACCAAAAACTCGTTCAATACCATCGATCAACCACCGTATTCACCGGATTTGGCCCCATGCGACGTTTTTTTTTCTTTCCAAAACTCAAGTTACCACCGTGGAAGCCGTTTCGACTGGATTGAGGCCGTAAAAGAAAATTCGCAGAGGGAACTGAAGTCGATCCCGGACAGCGCCTACAAGGCATGTTTCGATGATTGGAAAAAGCGTGGCATATGTGTATCGCTTCAGAAGGAGCATATTTTGAAGGCGAATAAAAAATATTGATGAAGATTAAACATTTTTCGTTTTATTTACAATTTCCGGAAACTTTCTGGTCACAATGTACATTAAATACTATTAAAATAAACTATTAAATACATTGAAATTATTTTTAACGAAGAAAGGCGAAAACGTTATTGCCGGGATAAGAATCCAAGACTGTACCTGAGGTTTAATTTTAAAGATGATTCATACAAACATGTGTCAGTGGAAAAAGGAATAAATGTACCATTTGGAATTTTACTCAAAATTATAATTATTATTTTAATAATTTGAACACATATTTATGTAAATTTTTTTTCTTTATTTAAGAATAAAAGTTTTAACTTTTGGCATAACTGAGATATTAACTATCCTATTTTTTAAGTTGGATCAAACTTAACATATAGTGTTAAATTAAACTAAAATCGGTTCAGTTACTTAGGAGCTTACCCCGGACAAAACGTGACATGTTATTTATATATACATAGAATATACATACTCTGTAATGTTCTGATATCTTTTCGGTTTGTGTTCGGTCTTCACCTAATTAATTTGGAGCAGTGTAGTAATCATGAACATATTTTTGTAAATCGCACTTGATTTTAACCTTCACTGCGCGCGAAATACTTCTACCACAATTTTGTCGGGTACTTTAATTATATACACCAATGAATAATGTACATAACAGAATACATTAACAGTTTAACTTCGATTCAACTGACTACTCATTTTTAAAATTATTAAAATACTAAGGTTAAATCGCTATGGGATGCGTAAATAATAATTTTAATCCAATAAAATGTATCAATGTTTTATATAAAAATTTAGTACAACAGCTTCTCTCTTCTTGCTATTTTACGTACTTGTATATTGACATCATAAAAGCCAATGAAATTTTAGTTATGATGCTCACTATTGTTGTTGTATTGAACCCTTAGTTTTAAGTTATAGTGTTTATTGAGATTCCTGACATATATTCAGTTGCCGTTGCTGAGACTATGCAGATACATACGTTAAATGAAAATAAATGATAATTTGGTTGGTATTGTAGGTAAAGTGATTTTTATGTTTTTTATGTTTCAACTCGACTCGACAGTCGCCATTTTATATACAGGGTGGCTCAGAAATTTTGCTACAAAAACAAATCGTAATAAAATTTTTTTTAATAAATGCATTACATTTTTTTTTTTTATTGTATAGAAAATTTTATTTTAATTAACATAATAAATTATCTCTTAAAATTATGGACCGTAAATAACCTCCCTGTTCAGCACATGCGATACTGCTTCAGTCAGATTTCTGGTTTTTTTTTTTTTGCACACCTCTTGCTTGAAATAACCCTGGTCTGGTGCAGTCAGGTCAGGTGAACTTAGGGGTCAGCGGAAAGTGGAATTTATTGATATTAATTTGTTTTCAAATTTTCGTTGGAGCTCCGTCATAACCGGTCTGGCTAGGTGTGCAGTTGTTCCATCTTGCTGGAACCAAACCTTATTGAAAGGGATACGTCTTCGGCGGAGGTAAAACAAACGCATTCAACATCTTTAAATAACGGTGCCAATTGACAGTTACTGTTGCACTGTTTTCTTCAAAGAAGTATGGCCCGGCAATACACCTTGATGGAACTGTACACCACACAATGACTCGTTCTGGGTGAAGTTTTGTCTCGTGGATTATTTCTGGATTTGATTCACCCCATATACGGCAAGTTTGCTTGTTTACATTTCCGTTTACATCAAAATAGGCCTCATCAGACCTGAAAAGGCAATTTATCAAGTTATTATTTTCTGCGGCCATTTCAATAATTTTTTGGCAAAATTCCAGACGAATAGGCACATCAAGATGGTTTTACTGGCTTGTTATTTGAGCTTTGTACGGAAACAGGTTTAAGTCGTCATGAACTATCCGTTGTAATGACCGTCTGCTGATTCCAAGTTGCGAGTCGAAACTCTTGGATTTGCCTGAATTGACGATGCAACAGCTGCGATTGTTTTTTGAAGACAAACATACGGATCTCGATGGTACGGTCTTCTTGCCATACTTCCAGATTCGGTAAACATGCTTACCAACCTCATAATGTTCCATCTACTCGGGGGAGTGTCGCCAAAATCCCGTCTGAATTCACTTTGGACAGCAATGATGGACTGCAAATCATGGTACCAATGCACTATACAAACCATCTTTTTGGTATCCCAGCCATCATTTTTAAAAAATCTAAATAACAACCCTCCAAATAAAAAAAAGTACGTCGAGTACTCCAACATAAACTAAGTTATTACGGTTTGTTTTTGTAGCACGATTCATGAGCCACCCTTTATATTATCGATTAGTATCTTCAGCAGTTGTAAAGCAGAGTAAAATATATATTTTTTATATATTTTTATTTTTTATTAAAAACTCATTGTTCTTTAAGGGATTAGGCGAAGACATGAAAAAGTGAAAAGTAAACTTTTTTTTGCCAGTAAATTATTTTATTTTATAATAGTAAACCCATAGCAAGATTAAATAAGGTTTCGACTAGACAGTAATTTAAAAATCAAATTAATAATTTTAAAAGCAAAGTTAAAAGTGTTCGTCTTGATCCAGTTCCAAACGAAGCGCCTTGTGGTGATCATTACAATCCCTAGAAGATTTATCTAAAATGAATCGGACAAAAAAAGTTTTGATAACAGATAACCTAGTGCCTATTTGCACCTTTTTTTTTTTTAAATAACAAACTGGCGGCCTTAGGAATTTTTTTCCATATATTAAGGAACAAACCAAGAGTTAATTGTTTATAAAAAGTCAGAATAAATGAACGCTCGATCAGGCACTAGTTTTTCATGTTTTTAAAAAGCTGTATAAATTATATTGAAATCTACCGTAAGGTTTTCGATCCACATTGGTCACCAGTTTGAACTACATAGTTTTGAGAAAAAGGCGTACTATACTGTTAATGAAAACATTGCTTAGCTTCTATGAAATAATTATTATTTCGTTAGTTATTGAAAAAGAATGTACAAAAATTGTATGTATGCGGTCTTGCGAAATTGAAGAAAATTTGTAGTGTATAAACTTGCATGGCCAAGATATGCGACTAGTTTAATAATTCTGGAGCCACAAGGAAATACAGCTAAAAAGGAGATTATAAAATTTCGATCCATTGATTTTTTCATGTAATAGTTTTTACATTTTTAAAACATGAAATAAGAATTCTTTATTATAATTTATTTTATTCCGTCTTTAGCTGTTATTTCTCTTGACCATGGAATTAATGCTTATTTTTATAGATGAAATGAATGGATTCAGCCACTACCAGTAGTTGTAGCATTATGAAATGTAGCAGCGATAAACATAATTAATTTCCATATTTCTCCTGTTTTTAGACGATCATTATGACAAGCATCCAAATGAAGTAGTGAAAAATGAGGAACTGACCTACAATAGTGGCGCAGCGTCATTGAAACCATGGTCTCTTTGGACGACCATTAGTACAGCAACAAGTTGGCTTGTCTTCAGAACAACAGGAGGTATAAGGTTTCTAACGAGATTTTGCAGCAATTGTGAATACGGAGAAATATCACAGCCGGCATCACATTCACAGAGCGTATATATCCAAATTAATGCTAAAGTGTTACAACTTTACATGCAGTGCTTTGTAAAACTTAAGTATTTAGTCTTTAATCACTACGTCTCAATTATCTCTATGATAGTAATAGCTGCTACAACTATATATGTTTTACAATTTGATATACAACACACCATCATGAAGGACAACGCACCTCAATTAGAATTGTCTACCACAACATGTGGGTCAAAGTCAAGTTTAGCTGCTAAATATGTAATCGCGCCCCATTTTTTGCTCGACACTTTTAATTCAGAAGTAAATCGAAAACGTATGTATATTTCTTTGTCTGCATCTGTTAAATCCTTTAGAAGTGATTCGGTAGGTTTGATTTCCTTATTGAAAGACATAAGTACATCATTTAATGTGTCTACACCTGTGACTATTTCTGCGTTTAGTTCAAAACATCCTATTAAAGTCAGGCGACAAGCAAGCCAGGATACATCAAATACGGGCGTGTTGCAAAATGCCAGTATGCCACTGGTCAAAAATTCCCGCGGTCAAATCTCTAGCGTTAGTGTAAAAGTGAAAAGATTTCGGTGAACCTTTCAAGGGAGGTGTTTTTTAAAAACGTACCATAAGCTTAAATTAAAGTTAATATTTAGATTTAACTAGCTTCAGCGATAAACAGGTAAAATATATTATAAGAAAAGAAAAAATATGTTAAAACTACATATAACAGTAATGGTTAAATGTTCTAATGTTGTGGATACATGGTAACTGTGTTGTAAATACATTTGAACCTAATTCTACCCTAGCTTCACCGCTTGTATTGTAGGACAATTAGGATTTACATAGATTACTACCATTATAAAAAGGTCTGAATTTTTTTAACCAAAACAAAATTTCCCTAAATATTTTCTAAACTGATTTGTAGAAACTACTGACGATATATACTCAATATGGCCGCAAAACCTAACCTTGAAGGTATGAATCTATGAAAACAGAAATGGATGGGATCTTGTAAACAAAATGCCACTGAAGTTCTATTGTGAGTCCAAAATTAACTTAGACCGTTACGATTTTAAACACAATTATAAAGAGGAAATTATTAGAAAATTAGCAACAATTTTGCCCAAATGAATTTAACAATGAGAAATTTAGTATTTGGAGCTACAAATCGAAATGACTGACATCAACAGCTTTCCCTAAAATACTTATGTCCTAAAAGTAGTAGTTACTCTCCTTCTGTCTTAAATACATGTAGTTAGTTTTATGATATTTTACAAACCTTTATGGCGGCGACTTAACTTGTCGAACGCTTGAACTGTGATTTTGTGGGTTTTTCATCTAAATTTTAAATAGATTAGTTAATATTTCTGTGTGTAATAACTTAGTATGTATGAATTACTTAAAGGTTAGGTCGCAAGCTGCAGCTGGATGCCATAAAAAAGTTTTAATTCCATATTGCAAACCATGCTGTAAAATAAAGGGACTCTAATTGTGTTCGTGGTGTCAATTTTATATGCAGTTTCATTAATCATATCCACGGATGGGCAAAGCCTTAGTATGTGCTAAAAGAGTAGTGATCGTTTACGTATACACACGGATTGTCTCTAACGTGATTATACGAAGAGCGTAAAACGAGCACTTACGATGGGACAAAGCGTCAGTGAATTCAGTTTGCAATTAAAAGTCAAGAATGATAGAATACAAGATTACGACAAGTATTTACCGTTCCTATTTTCGGTTAAGGCTGTGACAATTGTAACAACAACAAATTGCATTATATCGCCTCTTGTGACGCAATTATTTTGGAATGAAAAGAAAAAGCATAGAACAGCATTTAAATTGTAAACAAAAATGTAAACCCTTTTTTAATTCGTGTGATGGACGTAATTTGTAAGTTCATAGTGAAAATGTTTTAGTTTAATCAATAGAATAATGTTACGTGAAAATATTTGGTTAATTTTCAAATAAATACATTTATCTATTGACAACATAATTAAATTAATGATTAAAAGAGATTGTGAATACGTAGGTTATATTTATTTGAATCTATGAGTATAAATTAAATTGATTTTGAAAAATGAAGTGTGCAGGGGCGAGCTGCAATAGCTATTATGCAACTATTAAAAACTAGTTTTCCGTTTTATATAGAATATAAAAGTTTCCAAAAATTAGTAGTTTTTTGTAGGCGAAATTAATTTCATAATAATAATAATTTCAAAATCTATTCACTATAATTTCATTTAAATACAGAAGAACTATTATTAATATATATATATAATGGTGTATAATAAAAGGAACTATTGCTGGATACGTCGCAATTACAATCTCTTTTAACAATTATGTTGTCAAACATTATGCTATTAATTTCACTACAACTGTTTCACGATTTAACAAAAGTGTATACGTTTTTGTTTACAATTTACATGCTATTATATGCTTCTTCGTCTCATCTCAAAAGAATTACGTGACAAGATGGCGGTTGGCGTAATCTTGTATTCCATAATTCTTGATCATAGCTAAAAAAACAAACTTTAATGAAATTTGTACGAATTTTGTTCTAATGTTAAGAACGTATACACTATCACTTGATTCCCTTTCAGCAAGCAATTGCGAATCCCCAAGCTTATTTGTGCCATCAGTCGTTCGGAAGAGGCCTAAAATTGTTTTACCATCTGATCAAATGTGATCAGAATCGGAATGGTACTGTCTTGTGCAGTTTGATCTCCAATTAGTGTGTGTTTGGCAGCTGTTTATGACGCGAAAATTTGTTTGCCGGTTTTTACCACGAAAAAAAAATTAACAACGAGTTTGCTGAAATTTGTGTGTTTCCAATGGAAGCACGGCTACTTTCAGTGAAGGTCGTCATCGAAAATTTGCGTCATGCGGGTCATCCGACTTTGTTAATGACGATAACATCGAAAAAGACAATCGTCGTGTTGGCATTAGAGAGATAGCAGAGTATTTCAACATCTGTTGTAGATCAACTCAATACATTTTGATTAATGGTTTGTGAAGCGTATCAAGGCCAGACTCGTACCAAAAGGTCTGAAACATTTTGAAAAACCACGTCGAACAAAGGGCGCAAAAGAAAGACTTGATAATGTAGCCATTCATCAAACGAATTATTATTAGTGACGAGACGTGAGTTTATGAATTTGACGTCGAAACTGTCCAACAATCTAGCAAATGGTGCTCCATAAATGAGCCAAAACGGAAAGAAAAAATTTGCTGCAGGCAATTTGGATTTAGCATTGGCATGCTTCAGGAGCATATTTTCAAGACGATAATAAAGATTTGTATTAATATACGTGAAAACTGATTTTTTTCCAGTCTGGGTCAGTTTTGACTAGATTGTACATTTGTCCGGTAACATCACAATATCACAAATAGGCGAAGAAAGTCGGCCAATATATAAATATATTCATTTATGTATCAGATGTTGGAAAAGCTATAGGAAATATAATAGAATGCAAGTTTTCAGTAAATCTCTATTTATAGCGAAAATTCAACTAAATTTCAGAAGACAATGTAAACATGATGATACTTCAATAACGAAGATTTACCAGTTTTTGTATTTTTTGTATAAGAGAAAAAATCCAGACGGGACATAGGGAAAATAAGGGAAATCATGAACAGAATATTTATTTCGTATTTGGTTCTAGCTTAGGTGTTTTTGATGACCTCATTAATACATGTTTTGGCCTGTGTTGGGTGCCGAGCTCCTTGTTTTTGTTTTACATCATCATACTTTCAAATTGAGTTTTTGGCAATATCTACTACAAAAATTAATGAATGTTTTTATATTAGCGTCAAAACGCAACTATTCACGTCGTAATATGTATATATCCTATTGTCCACTAAAGGGAGCATTTACTTTAATCCAATTAAAGAAAGAAAAAATATGTATAATATTATGGCAAAATAAAAAGAAAGAAAGGAAGTTCCCTGTTATTTTGTCCAACACTGTATATATCTGTGCCATTAACTTTCATCATTCATGTAGATCAGTTTTCTTTCTTCATCAACATAACAAAGGGTATTTTAGTAATAAGAACCACTAGACATAGATATCTAATCTAATAAATATTTAGTACGTATGTAGACTTAGCCAGATTAAAGTAAGGGGCTAAGTTGATGTTATATCTTCAGAAAATCTACTTAAAAAAGATAACAAGCTGTTCACAACATGTAAAATTGAAATACCACTCTGTGGGACTGCGTTTTATACAAGAGGGACATCATCCTGTATAATCAGAGTAACTTATAATTATGTAAAACACAATTTAATAAAATGATATATAATTAAGAAAATAATATACTCTGAAACATATTAACAACTATGCAAAAATTCGCTTATGTTCTAACAGCTTTTGTCGGTGATTTGTCAGTTATACAGGAATATTGTAACTGCTCAATACGTATATAAATACTTTTTATAAAATTTATATCACAAATATTTTGCCCTTTCGAAACTGTCTTGTAGGTAGAAATTAATCGAAATTACTTTACTAATTTAATTTTTTTCCAGAGTTTCAGGGAAAAACCAACAGTTAATTGTTTATAAAAAAAATATTTCGATCACGCACTCGTTTTTCATGTTTTCAAAACTCCGTACAAATTTTATTTAAATCACCAGTTCAAAAACATAATTTTGAGAAAACGCATTTGAAGTTTTACACTCAATTCACGTAAATTAATATAAAAGCTGCTAGTTCTAGAGCGATAGATTTTTTGAAAATTCTGACTGCCTCTAACCCGTTAATTGATGTAAGTCTTACTTAAAACATAGCAAAAATCATGAGAAATTGAATACATATATTTCTTTTAACATGTAATTTAGTTGTTTTCTTTTTTCATTTGTTGGGAAACTGCAATTGTGCTCTTTTGTGTCTCGGCAGTATTTCGGAACTAGGCAACTTCTTTCCATATGAATTTTTTCACTGTGTCAATTATCTCGCATCGCTCAAATGGAAGGAGCTATGTATAGATATTTGAATAAAAAACATCAATTGAAGCATAACACAAATTCAAATTTTACACAAAATTCGTTTAATGTTTTATTTATTTTACTGCTTTATTTATTTAACTGTTTTATATATATTACTGTTTTATTTTATAACTGATCAATTCTCATTTAAATATAGTAAGCGAGGAATCAGATTCTGTATACAAAAATTCTGTGAAATATAAACATTTTCGATTCATTGAAACTTCGAAATTTGCGAATCGAATAAAAAACTTGCATAAATCAAAAATACTGCCATAATTAAATATATGTATATTAAAAATATGTTTTACAACAATCATACAACCGAATAACATAATAACGTTTGGCACTCACATGGTGAAAGATAAATGGCGAATCTTTAACGGTCATAAATCGCGCTACTAGATACAAGTATATAACAGAACTAATATACCTTGTATTATCTTATTGGGTACTTCAGACTATATATTAATAACGTTAACAAATTATGTTTCTTATAATTTCTTGGTAAAGGAATCAATTTAAAAGTTTACTAACTGATTGCTATTATTCAAATAGCTGATGAAAGTCGATAATTTGCTTTATTATATATGCATATACTTAAGACTTATGACATACATATGTTTATCCGATTAAAACTTTTAAGTTAAATACACACATCATCTATTTATATACAAACCCGTACTGACAGTAGTTCATTGTAACGCCAACACAATTTAGTACATTGACATTTATAATATTGATGGAATAAGAATGAAAAAATCAGAGCAGTATTAGGTTTTATATGAAGCACCCTCGAGTAGGGTAAGAATGATATAATTAAAAATGGTGATTCATGCAGTTGCCGTTGTCTTCACATTGTATTGTAATAAAAATGGTTGCCGAGTTACCAATAATTATATAATAGATACAGGTGTTTTTCTTTGACGTCGTTGGCAGTCTAATGACCAAGTTTGAAACACTTATACAAGTATAAATATTTTATTTTATCGATAAGTATATAACATAGATATTTACTTAATCATATGTGCATGTGAAACTTTCTCACATTTTGTGCGCATAAATACATACAGTCGGCGTCATAAGTATACAAAAAATGTTTGTTTGAAAATATTTTTTTTTAATTAATAATTTATTGCGTTACAATTTTATTATTATTTTTATTAGTTCTATACTGGGCTCAGCGTAAAATGGTGAAGGATTTACTGTGTAATATTTAATTCTTTTTTGTGCAATGTCATAACAAGTCGAATATCCCCGGCGATTAAGAACCTCTACCAAGCGGTTTTTCATTGAACATGTGGTTTCGTATGAATGTAGTTGTTCCGGTGCGTTATAAAGCAAGCAAAGGCTCAGAATTTCTGCTGTGTGCTCGGGAAATATTATCGTGTTGAAAAGAATACCCATTTGTCAAACCCAAACTTTTTTTTGTGCTGCTCTACTATGAAAACCTGTCTTTTTCAAAATTCTTCGCGCAGTAACTACAGAAATGTTTTCGCAAATCTTCCCTCTACATCACGTGCAATCGATAATGTAGTTAGTTGTGTATTTCTCTTAAAAGCATTCAATATTGAGCGGCTTCCACTGACGGCTAGTTCGGTAAGCGACCAGATTGAGTTTTTGACGTAATAATTCCTTTAGATTTGATGTTTGTTAGCACGGTATAGACTTAACAGTACGATGTTCCAATTAAAATCCCAATTCCGCGGCTTGATTTTCTTTCCTGCCAAAATTTAATAATAAAGTTTCATTCGTCGACATTAATTTCTTTTCGATTAGACACCATCGCTAATTTAACGGCAGTTTTATAAAAACTAAGTTTTTTATTGCACTTTTTTGACTTGTTTTGTAGACTTTTAATCGCTTCGACAGTTACATTAAAAAATAAAAGTACCGTTATCTCGCTTATTTGCCACCATCGTATAAGATTAATAAAATTTTAATTCAATGAAGTATTTACTTAAAAAAATATTTTCTCACAACAATTTTTGTATAAGCTGCTTGTAGACTTATGACTTCGACTGTATGTAGCATTGCATACAGTAAATAGAAAAGTAGAACATTTTTTTTTTATTAACTTAAGCAATTTAGAACGATTTGGGTTGAGCATGATGAAGCAACGCTAAAACTTTGAGAATCGGCAATGATTGTTACTTTATAAGTGAATGGGGCAGACAGTTTATTGTCAATTTTTGCGTAAACATAGTAAGTCTAAAGAGATGGGAGAAGACGGTGCTTGATAATCTAGGTATTTGAGGCAAAATAATAGTAAGAAACTGTTAAAAGTTGTAAAGTTCTAAACAGGGCTAAAAATCAGCTATACAATGGTTCCCTTTTGATTTCGTTCCTGATTTAAATGTGAACGCAAAATTGTACTGCGAATAGCAAACAAAATTGCTATAATACAAACTTATGAAATTTATATATGTAAAAAGAAAGTATAGCAAGGAATCCCGTAGTTATTGTATATATTTTTTAAATATTATGGCAAAACCATAGTTATATATATTGTTTAAGGAATTTAATTTAAATATCTATATATATATATATATATATATGAGTTAGACTGAAGCTATGAGTATATATGAGTTAGACTGAAGCTTTTGTTTTATTAAAATTTCGAAACCTTAGGTGTTTCTTTTGCATATCCATTATATTATTATATCATATACCATATATATCTTTTTGTCAATAAGAAATTATATAAATTACAGTTTTTGTATTAAGAATATAACCTTTCTTTAACTTAAGACCATTGAGCGGCGATCATGCAAAAATACAAAGGAAATATCAAATTCATTTTATCACAACCTGAATAGTGGTGGTGTGACAAAGCAGCATTGTAGATACTTCTAAAAAACAGATCAACTGTTTAAAGCCTGCATAATCATACAATTACGCAATTGTAAATGAAAACCGTATAGCTAGACACTAACGTTACTTGCTAATTTTAATGAATGTCAAAACTATGCTCTCAGTGTTCTGACCTAATAAATTATGTAGATGTTTTTTCAAATCACAGTCATAACACATAAACTATGGGAAAACCAGGAACACTGCGCAGTTGAAAAATTAAACATTCCTATTGTTGGCTTTATAACCAGTCGAATTCTTAATTGTAATTTAGTATAGACAAAAAAAAAAAAAAAACAAGGAAACAAATTAATTATAAATTTGAGATAATTGTTTGATATATGTTTACTTTGAATTCAAGTTTGAAATCACAGTAAATTATCACTAAATGAAAGTATTACATATAAATATATTTCAATGGTGTGATAGTTAAGAATTATTTGTTTGGATTTTAAGATCACCGAAAATTAATAAAAATTATCAATATTTTGTTGCAATTGTGAAATGTATAATAATTTAGGGTCGTATGAAATTTTAATATAAAATACTAACTGTTTAATCAAAAGTCTCATTATTTTTTCAAGCAGTAATGCGAGCTATGAAACAAAACCACAGAAAGCAAAAGAAAAAATTGCAACGGTGTCGAACATTGGTTTTCAATATTTTTTATTTATTATATATTTTATTTGAGTAAAAATAATTTGACTTTTTATTTGCTTTAATTCTTTACCCAGTTTTTAGTTTCTGTAATAAGGAAATATCAGCTCTCCACGGGAATATTTAAAATTGAAAACATACATACATATGGGTATATATATACATATATATTCAAGTGAGTACTCACTTACTATATACATACAGCTGTAACTGACAAACATGACTCAACATCGTTATTTGACACGGGAGTTCGTTTAAATCCAGACATTCTAACACAATAATAAATACAATATAAAATATGTTATTGTATTAAGAATGGCAATAAAAATGTATGCAACCTTTTGTATTAGAGGTTGTTGGCATTGTTGTTGTTGTAGCGACAGAAAACATCCCTGTAGTGATTTCGAGGAATGGTGCCGTGTTATATTAGAGGTGTTTTTATTTAGTCAGCGATTCTTTTGCAAACACTGAGACTTCCAATTACCGCTGGTGATAGTTTGGGACAGCATCTATTTAATTTGATTTTTACATATAAAATGTGTTAAATTCTGCTTTACATGGCTAGCTAACATTATACAAAAAAATGGATTGGTATCTAAAATTGTGAATTTTTTGTGCTTATAATTTTTTGAAGAGAAATAGGCATTAATTTAGTGAACAAATTAAAAGATTTTCAATGGAAATAAAAATACCTGTTATCTGCAACACATACATGTGTTAAAATACGTTTATAGGTACATTTATATAAACGATAGGCATGCATAAATGTATAATAAATTGTAAAACTTATGAACATACAACTTGCTTTAATTCATTTGCTTAAGATACAGAAATATGGTTCGGAAATCATTATTAAAATAAGGAATAATTCATTGAAATTTCATTTAACAACAGCCATTAATATATACTAATCGTTGATGAAGTATATTACGCGATTAGTCCAAATTAAAAAAAAATAATAATTACTAAATAATCAATATACTTAACATAATTATGAAACTATAACATATGAATTTAGCAATGAAACAATGAGGAAACTAGAATGGTCAAAACATTATAACATAAATAAAACAAAAATTTATAGAACGTAATAATTCAAAATACTTATACACATATAAACTTAAAATTGTACAGAGTTTTGAATCAAATTAATTTAAAAGTCTAATTAGGAAGCAACATCCAGTTCGAGAAATAAATATGAAAAAGAAATTAAAATAGGAGCATTCATAGTATTAAGTTTAACTCATGAATATAAATGATTGTTACGTAAGCAGATAATAAAGGAAATACATTTTGGCAGAAAACTCTGTGATTTCATATGGGAGATGAATTTAAAATTGGTGCAATTGCAAAAAAGTTCATAAACTTTTCCAACCAGACAAGAGTTTTTCATGATACACAGTTAAATGGGTCGGATGCGGAAGAAAAACGATGAAATAGAGGAATTTTTGTTTACAGTACCTCATCTATTTTTCCTTAGCCAAAAGCGGATGTGAAAGTGTTCGCATTGGAAATTGCGTTAAGCGCATGCATTTTTCCCTTCGCATCAAACTGACAAACGCAACGGACAAACAATGTAAGTTCGGAGCGCTTATTTCTAGTTTAAATTCATTAAAATAATTTGAAATGAAAACCTAAAGGTAATTTCAAAATTTATGAAAAAATAACAAAACAGGGTGAAAAGGAAATACAAATTAGCTGTTCAAAAATTCGAACCAAAAAATGGATTGATTTTGAAAAAACAAAATTGAAATATGCAACATTAGAACTACAAAAATCAAATGGCAGAAATTGAACACGGCGACTGATAAACATATTGAATTTCAATTATATTTTATATATGGTGTAATAATGCGGATTTATTCAATTACATTCAAGTCTGATAGTTAATTTTTTTATTACCCAATCATATTTACTATTATTATAATTCACATTATGTACGTTCGTTTATTTTTGAAGTTAAACTTCAAATGGGAGTTCGGAAAAGGTTGTGTAAACGTTTAACGCGCAGTGGTTGTATGACGCATCCACTAGAGAGCAAAAAGAAAGAAAGAGGGAGAGAGAGCTATCAGGCGCATTCGTTCAATCGCGTTTGGCGCAGCAGAGCAAGAAATTCCGAATCACCACTGAAATTTTCGTTCCGCTATTCTATTAATATCTTCTATGTGCACTTTTACATTGGGACTCAAAAGAGTCTCAAACCATTTTATTGTGGGCGAGGGGACGACGAGGAAAGACGAAGGGACCGTGCCACTTGTGTACGGGTGGCACGCTTTGTGTTCTTGTTCGTAACAGCTCGCTGCTACCCCTTTCAGCATTCCTTTTCACTTTCAAATTCTTTGAATGGTTGCAAGAGCGCTCGGTTTCAAATGAATTCGATCGCAAATTTGAGTTCTGTTATCTATTTTTGTATGTAATATGCAAATATGTATGCATAGAATAATAGAAATATTATGAAAAATTGTAAATAAGGAGAAAATTAAGATATAGATTATGGAGTAACGAAATTATGAATTTTTAATAATTAAAGATTAGGAAATTCCTGTTATAAATTTGGCCTTGAAAATATTATTATTATTAATATTCAATACATTCTGGTGGATTAGGGAATTCCCGTCTTAAGTATTTCTTTGAAACTATTAAGCGGGTAGGTATTATGCATATTCTTCTACCACATTCATGCTAATTCATTGCAAGCAAAATGTGGGACCACCATCCCAACATACAAATGAAATATGCAACACGCTCTAAGTGTTGCGCAGTCGAACCGCACAAATATTTACGAAAATTTTGTGAAAAGGAATTCAGAAAAACTAGACTCGAGATGCTGGACTCTTTTTGACCGTGTGAATGCACAGAGCGACACCAAAAGAGAATTTGCAAAAAATGAGACTCTTTTGAGTCCCAATGTAAAAGTGCACTAACTGTGTAATTCTCAGTTATTTAAACAAGTTGTAGTTCAAGAGACTGCTTGTGTGCTGATAGTATGGGTGTGTTCGAGCTACCTAATAATTGCAGCAGTACAGCTACTGTGTTGCATATTTGCTTATACTCTGTTGATGTGCAGACAAAAATTTAGTGTTGCCGATTATTTGCGCAAATTGCGTGCAAAAAGTGACAGTAGAACGTGATGCTGTTGCAAGTGTTGCCAAAAATTCACCGCGATACTTTGACAAATTTTCAACACTGCTGTCGTGATTGCCATCTGGAACGCACCCTATACTTACCTGGCGTGGAGGTTACCGTGATCATGAAGGCGGTTCCTCCGGATCGAGGCTTGGCCATTGCACTTCGGCTGAGTTGACCTTCGCGATTATTCCTAATGCGAATAACTTATTCATATGATTTTTGGTAGCCGGTACGGCGTTCGCGCCTTTTCGACATATGTATTTGTATACATACAATTTGTGTGGTTTTGGAAGAAGTGGATTTGTTCAACTAAAGAAATTAGTGCAGTATACTAAATTTATTGATTTTTATATGAAAGTAAACAATATTTCAAAAAAAAAAATCTAAAAATATGGCAATGGCTTAAATTTAAATTAGTACTTAGTGGGATATCCTTAATTTTTAAAATGCACCAGTGTACCAGATCCAAAGACGTGCACTTTGATTAAAATTTGCTCTTAAAATATCAATGTATTTTTTATCATATATAATTCCCACTCCAGTTGCAGTAAAACATCCCCAGAACATGAACCTCCACGGTATTTAAAATGTGCAAAAGGTTTTCCTGTGATGAATTCGTTTATTTTTCTCGCGACATATTTTACCTTTCCATCACTGTAATAAATATTATATTTTGATTCATCTGTGGATCATGTCTCCAGCATCGAATATCTTTATTTTTGTACATTCTGGCAAATTTTAAACCCTTATATCTTTACCTTGCACTTATTTTTTTCTTTTTTTGCAGCGGATCTGCTACTTATTTTTGAAGTGAAACTTTTAGTGGAAGCTCGGGAAGGTTGCGTTAAAAGTTTAACGCCACTTGTAATGAAAGGAGAAAGAGAGAGAGCTACGCAGCAAGTGTTGATGGCTAAGTGAGTGAATCATCATATGGTTTTCAATGCGAGTGTTTTGATTGTGTTGAATTTTGTAATAAATTCTGTTTTTGGAATCAGTTTGTTAATTTTAAATCTTAATTTAATATTTCATATGAAGTGTAATAATAGTGTGTGGTGATTTGAATATAATTAAAACAAGAAAACACGTTAACTTAGCTTAGTTCGCTATAATACCCTTCACATGTGCATTTCGTTTAGTAACTACTATATGTATGACTACATTTGAAAACGTGATCGGTATGCATCCAACTGAAAACATTTTCTTTCTAACCAGGTTGTTTAATATAAAGAATCTTCTATTCGAATTAATGCTAGAAAATCAGGTAAATAGACCTTTCAGACATTTACATAAATTTTAATTTTTTAAGCTGATGGATTTTTATTCATACTAAATTAATGGAAAACAAAAACAAATTATTATATTTATAGAAAATAGACAATATATAACATATAATAATATTTATTATTCTATTTATAGAAAATAGAAAATATATAACATATAATAATATTTATTATTCTATAATACTTTTTTATATAATATGTAAGTTACAATAATGACATCTATGACTTACACTTTATATTATACTCGTAATACAAACTTATATTTAATAATATTGAATCTAACATATATCTATATATATAATAATAGCTAAAGTAAAAAGTGCGTTCGGTTTTTTATTGATTTTTCAAAAGATGATAATTTTGTGTACATTTGTCCGATTTAAGTCCGTTTTGTTCGTAAACTTGTTGCCAACGAGATGCCAACTTCATTATACCCCTCTCGTAGAAGACTGCGTCCCTATTGCCAAAAAACTCGGAGAGCAAATTTTCACAGGTCTCTCTTGAGGCCAACTTCTCACCATTAAGCGCGTTCGCCATGGACAGGAAAAGATGGTTATCACTTGGTGTCAGGTCCGGACTATAAGGTGGGTGCATTAGAACCTCCCATCTGAACTCCAGGAGCTTCTGGCGAGTCACCAAAGACGTGTGTGACCTGGCGTTGTCCTGATGGAACACAATTCGGCCTCTGTTGATCAAAGATGGCCTCTTCTGGATGAGTACTGCCTTCAAGCGGTCCAGTCGTTGGCAGTAGAGGGCCGAATTGAGCGTTTGGCCATAGGGAGCAGCTCGCAGTAGATGATTCCTTGCCCAACCCACCAAACACACAGCAAAAACTTCCTGGCCGTCAATCAGGTCTTGGCCACCATCTGGGCCGCTCTCCCGAGCTTTGACCACGACCGTTTGCGCTCGATGTTGTCATAAGGGACCCATTTTTCATCGCCAGTCACAATCCGCTTCAGAAACGGGTCGATTTTGTTGCGATTCTGCAGCGATTTGCAGATGGATATTCGGTCCATCATGTTTTTTGCGTTAGTTCGTGTGACACCCAAACATCGACCTCTTTTTTGAATCCAAGGTTATGCAAATAGTTCCAAACGGTTTTCTGATTTATCTTAAGTTCCTCAGCAATTAAATAAGTGCTTACGTGACGGTCTGTTTCCACTATTTCCATGATTTTATCGCAATTTTCGACGAAGGGCCTCCCGACGCGTGGTGCGTCTTTGACATCGAAATTACCGGAACGGAACCTAGCAAATCACTTTTGTGCTACACGTTCGTTTACAGTATCGTTCCCATAAACTAAATTAATGTTTTCAGCCGCTTTGCCTGCTTTTTCGCTTTGATCGAAGAAAAATTGTAAAATATAGCGAATTTTCTCTTTGTTGGTGTCCATCTTTGACGAGCGCTCACAACGAACTGAGTAAATCAATCGAAAAACTGTCAAAGACAAACTTTTAGCGCGAATAAACACGTTTTCAGCGCCGTATAGTATGACATGATGCGTAACACTAGTACTATGGACAATAACGCCATCTCTTAGATAAAACCCGAACGAACTTTTTACTTGACCTAATATAATATATCTATTTTCTAAAAATATTCCGTCATGATCACTATATGGTGTTTCATATGTCATTGCAGAATCCATGTTTGTCCATACCCAATCTATTGCTGATTCCTGTTTTGTTGTGGCGACCTTAGCCAATGAAGATTGAAATCCTAACTGTTGTAATCCAGCCTCCAAATCGTCAGTTGCTGTTAGGCGACATATGTTAAAGTCACCAAGGACTACTAACGGTCCATTACACTGTTCAGTTATCTGACGGATATTATTTTCTACTTGGTTTCTAAATTCCGGAAGTCTATAGCGGGGGTTCGTGTACACAAGTGATATG